AATGTTTATAATAACTGATTTTTATTACAAAATAATTCCCCAGTTTATATGGCTCGAACAGTAAGACAGTGGGTCAACAACATCATAAATGTTTTGCCATGGCCAGCAAAAAGTATCGACTTGAATCCCATTTAAAATGTATGGGACTTCAAAGTCAAAAAAGATATAACTAAGAGAATTTAGGCCGGCAAAGTCTCGACTTGAATCCCATTTAAAATGTATGGGACTTCAAAGTCAAAAAGATATAACGAAGAGACTTTAGGCCGGCAAACCGTTGTCAACTATAGGAAGTTATTGAAAATGCTTGGAAAGACCTACAACATGCGGCATTTAATTTTCTCTATGCCAAGAAGATTAAAAAGTGTTATGGCAGCCAATAGCACTACAATAAATTATTAATAACACTATAGACCTTAAGGGAAAGGTCTTCGCAATCTTTGTTATTCTTGTCTGCGTTTCTTGACGTAATATATGCAACTTTTACTGACACTAAAATTAAAGAAAAATTTTCGTCCAAGTTTTCTATTACCTTTGATTTTTTCCATTTTAATTTCAAATGTTAATTTAATTTTGCTATAGCCTTTGATTTTTGGCAGAATATATGTTATTTACCCAAACATACTGCGATGGATGTATACTGCAATAGTGAGACCAATCATCACTTACGGGGCTATAAGTAACAGAACTAGTTTAGCTACTACGAGAGCTAATATCTCAAAAGTACAAAGACTAGCCTGTGTTTGCATTACTGGTGCAATGAGAACCTGTCCTACGGCCGCAATGGAGGTGATCTTAAACCTCACCCCTCTACATTTGATGATAGAAAATTTGGTAAAAAGGACACGATATAGAATGATCAGGAACGGAGTAATCAGACGAAAGTCTACTTGCTTCAGGACTAAAGATACCTGCGGACATGCCCCAGGATGAAATGCAAAAGAAGTACAGTTTTGTGAAAAACTTCAAAACTACAGAGCTGGGCTGCAAAAAAGAATGGAGCCGAGAATCCATCGCGCTTGCAACCGAAAGACGTGCTATTCAGTGGTATACGGACGGGTCCAAAACCATAGAAGGAACTGGAATAGGAGTGTATGGGCCGAGAACCAAGCACTCCGAAAGCTTGGGAAAATACCCAAGCATCTTCCAGGCGGAAATTCACGCCATCGAGAAGTGTATCCAGTTTAACATCGAGAGAAACTATCATAGACAAGAGATTATCGTCATGTCCGATAGTCAAGCAGCCATCAAAACGCTGAGCTCTTACGTAATCAGCTCAAAAATTGTTTGGAGATGCCTAGAACAATTGAATGAGCTAGGCGAGAAAAATAGAGTTACTCTCACTTGGGTCCCGGGACATAACGGGGTACAGGGTAACGAGATTGCAGATAAGTCTTGCAAGGAAAGGGGCTCAAACACCCTTTGTAGGACCTGAGCCGTTCTGCGGTATCAGCAGTAACATAATATTAGGAGAGATTAAAAAAGAATTGGGCAGTAGAAGAACCGATAATTGGAACAATCTCTTGGGGCTGAGACAGGCCAAGATACTTCTGGGTGAATATAACCAGAAAAGATCGGAAGCCTGCATCTGCCTGAGCAAGAACAGGCTACGTATTGTAAGAGGGATCCTTACCGGGCATTGCCGACTAAAAGGAGAGGATAGTGAGTGCAGATTCTGTGAGGAGGAGGACGAAACCTCCATTCACATCCTAACTGAATGTGTAGCACTCCAGAATCCAAAGGCACTATATCTATGAGGATATCAAATAGAAGAGGGAGATTTACCTAACTTGAAGCCACTTCAAATCCTACACTTCCTTGAGAAAATAGGGTTGGAAGGGTCGCTATAGGCATTGAGACATTTCCTTAGTGCAGTGGCGACAGAAGGGGACACAATAGATCTTTTAGGTCGCAGTGTATTAACACCCCATTCTCAACATAACATAACTTACGCTCAGAGAAGAAAATTCTTCAAATAAAAGTTACTTGTAATAATATTCTTTATAGTTTTTATTCCATACATAATTTTCCTAAAATGGTCCGTATTCGAGAAATTTGATACAAATTTCAAATTTTTGAGAAAATTGTTCTAACAAAAGTTGTTTGTAACGTCATTCTCTATAATTATTGTTCTATGCATAGAGAGTTGAAGTATTTCCAGTACGTTAACGTAAACGTGAATGCAGAAAAATAATGTTTACGTTGCTGTACAAAATATGAGTTGAAGTTGTTAAACGCATCGTGAGATTTACGTATCATGACAAATAATGACATATTATATTGGGATTTCTACTTTTCCTATTAAGGTTATTTTGTTTGCGTTACGTGTATACGCCAGAGCCCGTAAGTTTACGTTGTAACATTTTAAAAGTCTAATTATAAAATGTTATTTTAAATGTGTGCCATCCGGTATAATTTAATTATCGCCAACACACAATATTCTAAAGAAAGGGAAATTTCTTGAAGTGGGAGTACCACTAACCAAACGATCTCAAATTAGATTTGTAAATTTCATTTTATTATTACCTTTCGATTGTATCGGTGGTGCATTTGGCTGTGAAAGTGGTAAGCATAAAAAGTATATAATGTCTTTATTAAATATCTCAGTAAAAATATTATTTAAACCTTTTGTTAATTATTAGTTTTTTAATAGTAAAGTTAACTATATTTTTATGATTCATTCTGGTTGCTAGAACGGCACAATATGTATAGTCACTAGTTTTTATTATCTGATTGGTTCATTTTTTTTTTTTAAAGTAGATGTTTCAAATTTATATACCGTACAGAACCACGTGAAAAACAAAATCTATTTTTGTCCAGCAAACGAATGGAATCAGCCATAAGCCATAACGACATAAGCCATAACGACATAAGCCATAACGACATAAGCCCTAACGTCATAAAACCATAATTTCAACCGCTGTAATCTGAACGATGGTTCTCGAGGAGCAGAAATCTCTTATGAAAAGTTAGTAGACTGGAAAAGCGACAGCTACAATTCGAAGCTTCATAGGAAGAAAGATTAACCGACAAAGGCGTTGGTTTCCGAGGGACAGAAATCTCAACTACCTATGGCTATCTAGAAGTGGTTAGCTAACAAAGTAAAATGTGGTAATTACTAGTGACTAGAATTATTTATGTACGAATCACAATTTGACACCTGATAACTGTGAATAATTTGTTTTCGAAAAGGTTTCTTTTTTTAAATAAAATAATTAATTTTTATAAGTATATATGTTGAATCTTATTTTTTAAAGGTCACAAAAAATTCTCTTTCATTCACTAAATTCTGTATAATTTTTATTAACTTCTTTTTATTGATAAAGTTAGAATTTATAATTCTCACTAGCTTTTAAAAATAAAAAAGAGAATTATTGGTGCCCAACATTTCCTAGAAAGATTACTTGTCTATTTGAAAAGCCGAATTCACGACCGAGAAAAGGATGTGCTCATTTTTTTTTTTTTTTAATTTTTAAAGGTAAGTAACGTTTGATATTAAATTTCACTGAGCTAGTAAAAATCTCTATAAGTGTTTTGAAATTAACATTTATCAAAAAGGTAACAAATAATATTGCAAATTGTAGCCTAATGGGTCAATGGAATATTGCAACGTATGTACGTAGACGTAAACGTGAAGGATATTTTAATAGGCATGCGCAGATGTCAAATTTCACGTATACGTTTATAACATCACTTCAACTCTCTAAAAAACTCCCTAAAATGGACCGTATTCGAGAAATTTGAGAAAAAGTGCAAATTTCGAATTTTGAAGACAATTCAAAAACAAATAAAGAGAAAAACACCAAATTTTAAATTTAAGCTTTAATTCATCTTGCGGTGAAATAATTAAATTTAGGGCATAGTTGGAACATCTGGGGGTACTTTATAGGGGGTCGTTTTTCTACTTTATAGGATATATCTGTTATTTACGATTGAACGAGAAAATTCATTAAATAAATTTGCGTGTAATGTTATTTTCTATCGCATTTAATTTATACATGTTATATCTTGAATAACACAATTAGATTTTTAAAAAATATGTTATTACTTAAAAGGTATAATGTGTTTGTTGTAGGTGAGTTGTTATAACTGACTGACTTTTAATGTGTCACCCCTATTTATAATATAGGTAAAACAAAAGAAATATCTAAAAGGTGTAATGTGACAAGTGTTGCATTTACAAGAAAATGCAACTTGGCTGAATACAATCCTAGAGGTCAATGATAACCATTCTAGGAATTGCAACTAAGCATTATGTAACTCTAGAGAATTTACTATTAAATAATATATAGAGTGAATTTTTTATATAACATATATATACATAATATATACATAATTTTTCTAAAATGCTGTATTCGAGAAATTTGATAAAAAGTGCAAAATTCTAATTTTTAAGAAAATTGTTTAAATAAAAGTTCTTTGTGATATCATTCTCTATAATTTTTGTTCCATACTTAATTTCTCTAAAATGGACCGTAATGGAAAAATTTGTAAAAGTGTTAACTTTTAATTTTTTGCATCTTCGTTGGCAATTAAAATAAATAAAATGTTTCGAGTAAGATGTAGTTCATCTTCTAAACATTTACAGGGGAGATACAAGAGATTGTATAAAATAAATGGAAAAGCCTGTAATAACTAGACATGAAAGTCATGTGTTGGACATAGCAGAGTTTTTAAGTTGAGTTCAAAAATTGCATATATTATTCGATTATTTACGATTAAAAGATTACTCGAAAAAATTGATTAACCGAAATAATCGATTTTCGAAAAAAAAAAAAAAAAAAAAAAAAGGTTATTTTACCCACCTCTAGTTTAGACATATTTAGTATAAGGGCTTACCTTGTTCGTTGATTAACTTGAGCTCTCTTTTTGAAATTAAGTTCAAAAATAATTGCATTTATTAGTGTTTAAAGAGAATATAAGACAAACTAAGAAATCAATAAAAACTTGATTTGCGAGCATATAGGGTAAACAGTTTAAACACATTTAATGTAGGGACTTACCTTGTTCGTCAAGCAGTTCATGAAATCTTGTTTCATATCCGTAACAGAAACTCTATCGTTTGGTCGTTTTGGTCCACTAACCGAAGACACGACAGTAGACAAATCTAATCCTACGTTATGACTGAAAATCGGTTCGGGTAGTTCGGAAGAATAATTTCTTAGTTGTTTTGTTGCTCTCAGGTACGCTTCGATGATTTTAATTTGATCTTCAGGCCGATCTAAAAGAAAAAAAAAAAAAAAAACGAGAAAATAAAACCTTAATTTGCAAGTCATCGAATAAAATACTAACTCGTTTGTCTTAAGTAAGTCAAAGATATTTCGTCGACAGGGAAATGTCCGACAGTAGCTCCGTACTCGGGACACATGTTGGCGATAGTTGCTCTATCGGCTACAGACAAAGCAGCCACTCCTGGTCCATAGAATTCAACAAATTTTCCAACCACCCCAAGTTGACGTAAATTCTAATAAAAAAAAGCATTGCAGTAATTTGCGTATAGAATAAAAAGTAGATAAAAAAGCAGCTAAAATGAGACGAAAGATAAAAAGGGAAGATCCAAAAAGATATTAGAGACAGTCAGTGAAAACCGTAGATATACAAAAGCGCAAATAAGTGAGAGAAAAGACTCAGAGATAGACCTAAACAGGGAAGGGTCACAATTGCCAACTCTCCCGGAAATCCGAGATTCTTCCGGAAAAAGGCAATTTGTTTTCAAAATCTCCCGGTTCCAGGAACGTAGCTAAAATCTCCCGGATCTTTTAACTACTAATAAAGAAATTGACTGGGTTAGATTAAAATAGAGTTCGTCTCTCAACATGCCTATAAATGAAGATACACTGTACGATGATTGCTGTTTACTGCGAGAAGTACGTGCATTTATTGCAAGCAGAACAACGAGAGTAAACATTTTCTGGGTTAATTTCTTTAAAAAATGTGTGGAAGCGATCGTTTCGAACTCTCTGAAAATCACTGTTAATAGCTTTTTTGGCTGAATAAAAGACTACATTCGACACCCGATGTGAAGAACATTTTAACTGAAGTTACAATGTTTTCCAGCTGCAGATTAACTGACGTCTTCAAAGAATTAACCTTCAAATTGACATAGGAATTGTAATTCTATCTCAATTAAATTTAAAGTTATTCATTAAAGTAATATCATTGTAAATGCAAATTTTACTTCAATTTTTTAAATAAACAAGGTAACAATGGTTACAATAATGTAAATTTTTTATTATCCTATATTTTTTACAATAAAAACATTGTAATGCGCTATACAATGTTTTTATCGGAATTTTTATTCAATAAGTTAGTACCTATAGATTCATTGTAAGTTCTGCACAGAAAATTCTTTTCATAAAGTCGAAATGTAACATTGTAAGTCAACTTACTAGTTTTTATATCCAAGACTTAATATTTTATAGGTCTAACAGACATAAAATAAAATGGTAGTGTCTTTACAATGTTATTACCACTAATTTTAAAGCATCTACTTGCGTGGACCTATTGAATGCCTAGTATCTGGATACTTGTATCCGAGTACTTTTTAAGTGAAAGTATCCTAAAAAGTATCCAGATACATTGTAAGTATCCGTATCCGGTACTCGGATACTTTTTTCCTGTATCCAAGCCAACTCTATTGCGATGGTGGCTCCAAATAGTATGCTGAAGAACTAAACTTGTTACCAGTGCCGTACATTTAAACGGTTTATCTTTTGAGAGAAATGCATTCAAAGTTTTATATTATTTCCCAAAAATTTTTCAAAGGCACCTCTATTCTAAATTTTGGAATTTATCAGCACACATTATTTAATGTTACATATTATTTATGTCCAACTTGTCTATTTTTTTATCCGATTTTGAACTTGTTGAAAAAATTATCCGCTAATCAGCAACACTGCGTCTATCCCCTCTCTATTTACAAATGCCCTTTCCAGTAGCGAGTGAAGTCTAATTACAGGTTGTTAGTTGATAACTTGTTTTGTTTTTTGTTATAATATTTTCTTTCGTTCATTAATAGAAAAATTAATAATTTTACGAGCGTTATATTTTTATCCACGACTGTTATTGAAATATATGTCCAGGATTACCTGTACAGAACTGCACAGGGAATCTGATAAAAGGCTGTTAGTGGCTGTATCTGAATATTTTAAAGGATAAATAAAAAACAAAAGAAAATTTGTATTCCAAAGGGGACACCTCTCCATCATATCCTCAACTGTCATTCTTCTTCTCTCAACTATCCAACCAATACAATTTAAATAGGAAGCAAGTTATAAAAGCAATTAAAAAACTTCAAAATCGTGCAGATCGCATCACCACATCTTGACCAAATTTATAGGGGACCACCTCTGAGGTACCCCTTTACTAACAAATAAGAATCATAGAAATCGTATAAGGTGATAAAGAATTACCGCTAAAAATACATAAAAAATTAAGAGTTTGAGGACTTTCTAATGGACCCAATTATTAGATTTTGACCAAATTGTTATGGGACCAAAAAAGAATCATTGCTGAACACACATAAATAAAATATTACGACGAATTAGAACCTCCTCCTTTTTTGAAGTCGGTCAAAAAAATAGTTAAAAGTGATGAGGAATTGAGCAATATGACTGTTCATTACTTTACTTTTCATTTTAGTGCCCTCTAGCGGCATAAAAATTTGAAAGTTAATTTTATTAGTAATTTGCGTGACATAAATTTGTTATTTTAGTCGATTGTAATTGCAATTTGTACCTATTTCTTAACATTGGATTTTTGTAACGTACTTTAATTATATAAGTTTATATTTCATTAAATTTAAATTTCGCAAGAGGACGCTAAATTCAAAAATTATTTTATTGATGATGTGTCATTTTAGGTACTTTCACAATTTAAATTATGATTGAGGATATGATAGAAAGGTGTCCATATTGGAAAATCGACTTGTTCCTGCAATTTTTTCTTAAAAAAAAATATATTCTTAGATCAACTAGAAAATTGAAATAACAGAAATGGTCCCAATACGGCTTCTTGTGAAGCCTGCAGTGAATATTACTAAATGGCGAAGCATGATTATTGAAGGAAAAGTAATGTGAGATGATGAAAGTTTGGATATCCTAAGAATTTCATATACATAAACTAAATGTTAAAAGTTTTGTCTAGTATTCAAAGACGAGTATGAAAGATGCTTCTAAGGTTTTTTTGGGATGAAAAACTTCACCTATCAACCCACTAGTTGATGCAATAAAATCAGCTTTTATAAAGAGTAGAAGGTCAAATTGAGCAATATCAATAAAAGAGCGTGGTTGGTACTTCTGCTACCATTTCTAAACCTTCAAATGTCCTACTTATAAAGATTAATGCTTAGGTTCTAGAGGTACTGTACAAATAAGGGTAAAAATGATAGAATTTATCTAAAAGATACAGAAAAGCTTCATTCACTTTCTTACCTTAGTAATAGTAAGTACTAAATCAGTGGATGTGACGTATTCGTTCAATTCGCCATACAATTTGTAACCAACAACTTGCGGTAACAACATGCTGATCGACTGGCCCAACATCACCGCTTCTGCTTCGATACCTCCTACACCCCAACCCAAAACACCAAGACCGTTGATCATTGTTGTATGGGAATCGGTACCAACCTGGAAAATATATGAGATCGATATCTTTTTTTTATTTTATAAAAGAGTTGTTTTGAGGTTATGAGTGTTCAAAACCAACTGTTGGTTAAAATCAATGTAAAAAGTTCGTTAATTATTATTACATCGATTATTTACTTACCACGGTGTCTGGATATAAAAGAGCAGTGTTCTTGTCGTTGAAAACGACCCTAGCTAGATATTCCAAATTAACTTGATGGACAATTCCACTTCCTGGTGGAACAATAAGCATATTGTCGAAAGCTTTTGCTCCCCACTGAAAAAAAAGTCACTAGTTAAAGGAGGCAGCAGGAGCGGCTCCATGCCGAATTTTTAGAGAGGGCCATTGCCAATTCCCTTCTTAGTATATATTTTTTAATAAAAGGCTCATAGATTGTAAAAAAATTAAATCTCGGGGTGACATAACCAGTTACGAGGGTCATAGCGCTAGTATCGGTTTGCAGAATTTTGACACGTCTGACATCGGAATATCGATACTTATAAAAGAAGATGACGGTCAACAATTTCAATTTCGAATCAATTTTCGTTCTTGTGCTTTTGAGAAGCGTGAAGCGTCAGTATTGATTGACAAGAATAACAAATAATAATTTTTCGAGGTTTTTTTTTGGTCCAAATAAATTATTTGCCATTAATTTTGTTTCGGTGATATTTATTGTGGTTTGTGTTAATGTATTAAGCGCTTACTCACTTAATATGGAAAGCCAACGTACAATAAACTCATAGTCCCGATAGAATCAGGTAACAAATATCTTTTCGCGAACCCTATAATTTATTTTGAAATTTTTCAATTAATAACTTTTGATATTCAAATTTGAAGAATCTCTACCGAAACACCATTTTGTGTAGGGGAATAAAATGCCCAATAACTGTTACTCCCCAACTGTAATTATGGCCATACAACTTTTATAATTAAAAGGCCGGTATATATATAGATAACTACGGCCGACAGTTGGCCGAAGTCATTTAGCCATCAAATCCTGTTAATTGGCTTCCATTTTCCCTTTAATGTCTAGAAATAAATATATTAGAAATTAATGGCCTATTGGTGGGAAGTTAACGGGAAATTGCAGGTCTTTTACCATATTAATACTGACTGCTGAATAAAGGCCAGGCATATGACGAGACAGGCGATTCGATAGTTCCTCTTTGACTAATAGTACTGTTTGAACTATAAATTCTATACTAAAACAGAAGGCATTCATTTTCTCTCCACGTCCAGCAAAGGGCTAGCAATATCCCGGCAATTCATTGTTTGTTGGGTAATAATACATTTTTTAATTAATATTTTATGAAACTTTGATTATGATTTATTACCTGAAAATATTTAAAACTACAAATTTTATTTTACTTTTTGACATTAGCATTTATCACAAACATTGTTAAAGAATGGTTTAATTTAAAATGTTTCTTTTTTTTTTCAGTAAAATGGATATGGCTGGAGTTATCCTCGACTTTAGAATAATGAATTAAATAAATTTTATAATTTTTCAAATAAAAAATATTATGCAACTTTATTTTTTTATACCAAAGCCACTAATATACCAGTGCTGGCATGCCAGTGAGACTGGCGCTAACTACTTCATAAGTGCCAACTGGCATTCTAGTAAACGTGTGCGTTAATAAATACCAGTTTTAAAAATACAACTGGCTGGTATACAAAAATATTTGCTGGCAATAATATCAATGACTGGATAATCAAGTGGATTGTAACTAATGTTATTGACAGGAAAATTCTAGACCTTTAGATACAGTCTGTTCGCTATACTTACGCGGGTTTCGGATTAAAAATTTTATGACTATTTCCAGGTGAGTACCCGAAAGTTTGACCTGTTCTTTCGGGAAATATCAACTAGTTAAATGAAATAAAAAATAATGTACAACTTTTTAATTAAATAATAATGGAGAATCTTTTGTATAATTGAGAGCAGAATTAAACTTCTTCATTAATGGAGTCTAATGTGGCTACTATAAACCTAATAATAATTTTATATTACACTTCATACAGAAAATATGGTCTATGTATAATAAGAGGGTTATTTAGCTCAAATAAAAAATTTTCTAACATAAAAGTTTGTTCCACGTAGAGAATTTCAAATGAAAAATAAAAAAATTGAACTTGCCAACAAAAATGAAAATCAGTCATTATCATCCAAAATATCATAATCGTCATCATCATCACTGTCATCACCATTAATTGTTATTATGATTGGAATTATTTCGTTTATTTTATTTTCACGAGTCCACCCACCAATCTTCTATTAGTTTCTCGCACTTGGATATACAGTTCCGCCACACGTCTGGAGTTGCAATTGAAAATGCTTTTCGCCAAGTTTCCCGAACTGCGTCGTCACTATAACCATTAGGCCCAATATGGTTGTTATAATATTGTTTTGCTATTCCCCATATATTTTCGATGGGATTAAACTGGCAATGATACGGTGGCAGACGTAAAACTTGATGACCGTAACTTTCAATAATCTGATCCACAACAAAGGTTTTTGGTTTAGCGTGTATATTTGCCAAGCGTAATAATTCTGATTTTAATATATATTGAGGAAATGGTATATGTTCCTTTGTCAACCATTTTTTAATTCCAAGAATTCGTTGGACTTTTGTTTAATACTTCAGAATGGTAAGGTGCATTGTCTAAAATAATTACGCTGGGCTCACTTAAACCTGGGAGAAGTTTTTCATGCAACCATTTTACAAACATTTCTGTGTTCATATTATCGTGATAGTCACTGGATTTTGATTTAGATGAAAATATTAAATCAGCACCTTCTATAAAACCCGATTTTCCTCCTGCATGTAAAATTATGTGTCGCTTCCCTTCTCCATCGGTATGTTTGATGGACTTTACGTTTTCATCTTGCCATATTCTCTTGGTTGCACCCCTAGAAAATATCCATTTTTCGTCTAAATATATAAAATTCGCCCCTTCTTCTTTAAATTTAGAATATTTTCTTAGAAAGTTAATTCTTTTGTGCACGACAGAACTTCTTTCATAAAGGGCCTTCTGTTATCCTCCTTTTGAAATTTGAAACCCAAGTTATGTATCACTTGCCATAAACTTGTTCTGCCAATGTAGTCAAATTTTCTATCTATTAATTCCGAGAGAATTGTATTTAAGGTCACATGTTCCTTGTTGGCCCTCATTCGATAAATAGTATCACGAATTTCAAATTTCTTTCCATCTGGAATATCTTTCGTTTTCAATGATGGGCGAGTTTTGCGGTGATCTTTTTTCGGCAGTTCACTATTGTGATTTTGTAATACTCCTCTTAATTTGGTTTCACTAATTCCTAGAGCATCGCATACGCGTTGTTGTACAGGCATTACCGATTTTAAAGGACCGCCATTTTCTTTTTCATCCGTAAAATACTTATGTACACTACAAATTAGACTATCTACATCTAACACACGTCTAGGCATTTTTAAAATTTCCACTAAATTTACAATATACATACAATGTCAACACTTGCAAAGAATCAATTCAACTGCAATATTTGTAACAAAGTTAGTACCTACCCTAATGTTATTTTGATTTAAATCTAACCATTAGGGCAATTTTACCTAATTTCTTAGAAAGAGGCTTATTGGAACTGGTTGTCAATGACTAATTTGCATAATTTTGTTAATCCGAAACCCGTGTAAGTATAGCGAACAGACTGTAGTGACAGATTTAGGTGCCCCTCGAAGATGGTTGAATAGTACATCGATGTTGAGTGTGGAAAAATCAGTTAAAATATCGATTTTTTATAAAATTACGCCCTTATTTCAACCTTTTAGCCACTTTAAAGTCTTTGGTTTTCCGAAGCCTAGTTCTAATAGTTAATCATTTAGGCTTGCGTGAAAATACCTTTAATTTTTGTAAAGGAAAATCGAATTTTCCATGTGTTAGCCCCAGTAGCCACTCGTTAAATTTCCATTCATTCTACTCAAAATCGACACTTTTCAAACTTATCAAAATTTACCGCAACACATACAGTGTGTCTACTTTAAGCTAGAACCATCGACGAACATCTACTAGACCAATTTTGTATACAAAAGGCGAAATGTAAAGCATTCACGATATTATTAGGGATCAACCGATACAGATATCGAACTAATATAAATATCAATTAAATATTTCAATTGCTAAGAGTTTTTTAAATAAATTAAAACACATATTAAATTAAAAACAATTTAAATTATATGTGTATTCAGAATTTAAAAAAATCTAAATGGAAAAGATTAACATATTTTTAACTACGTTAAAATGCAAACAAAATTAAACTTTCTGCTCTTTTTGATGTTAGACGATTTATTTTGCTTTCATATAAAGAGAGATTCATTAAGGGTAGCGACCGGCCTTATCTCAGAATATCTTGAATTAATATTTTTTTAAAAGAAACTCAAAAACAGGTCGATTTTTATTTCAAGGATGACACCTTTCTATAGTAGCCTCAACTGTGATATATGTCTATATGTCATTCCTCTCCCCCTCCAACCCACTCACCAGTACAATTTGAGTAGAAAAAGTACCAAGTAAGACACGTCATTGAAAAGCTAATTTTATGGGGAATTCAGCAATATGACTGTTCACTGCGTTACTTTTCATTTTAACGCCCTCTAGCGGGATAAAAAACTGTTACGTATTGTAATGTGTGACACTTCATTTGAAGGCTAATTTTATTAGTAATCCAATGCACCACATATTAATCTAAATATCTAAACATTGCACTTGCAACAAAAGTTAGTAACATTGCAATTTTTTTCATTTTAAGTTAATTTAACATAATATTATTTTCATGATGGGTTAATAACAGCAATTTACTTTTATCGTCACTTTATTATTGATCATACATTTAAACAAATAAACAATAGCGGTGTTATGATTCCACCTACTCATCGAATGGTCGGCTAGCTAGTGTCGTTCCCCCAACTAGTTCGGCATGGTTCGTTCACGCATGTGCGCGGGATATTCAAATACAGAACAATTATGTATACGTATATGTATATATAACAGTTGAGGATATTATGTGCCTCTCTTGAAATAACAATCGACCTGTTTATGCGATCTACTTCAAGATATTCTGAGATACAACCAGTTTCCACCCTTAATGAATCGCCCTATATAGTACCAGCTGAAGAGAATAGCAGTTCACTAGCCACACTACTTGGTGGGGGTGCTAAGTATATTATAGCACATATAATCAAGGACTTTTTTACAACATTCGTACTCATTCCCAACCACTTACATATGGCTACCCTCGCTCTTAATTTATATTTACAATAGTAGAAAATTGTCTCAATTTCTGAGTTTCTCTAATTTAATATAAATTTTAAGGTCACCTTCAATTTTATTTATCATATCAGTATCAGTCTTATTCCTATATGGTGATTTACTTACTGTCATACCAGTAAGTTCCTCAAAGGTAATCCAAAACAAGCCTTTAGAAATCGAGTCAGGGACATTGTCCGGAACCTCTTGGTTTGTCCGATTTGATTTCTTAGCAATGCTTGCTAAAGTGGCATAATCAGTCAATTTTTCCTAAGTTATATAATGAAATATTCATAATAAAAATGTATGGCCGATAGGTATATCGGTATCGGTCGATATCGATAGATGTTATCCATGTAGTTGTCAAATTATTGCAGGAGAATCTATGTATTATAATTAAAAATGTACTCAACAAAAGACTTCTTCTTCTTAATGTATTTTCTGGTTTCAATTATTGAAGTTGAAGGTGATTTCCAGGAAAGTACACCATTTATTTTGCAATGTGGCAAAAGTTTAAAGGTTACATCGTAGTCGTTTGTGTTGGTTCATTCAAAAACACGCGAGCTCGCAAATGCAATCCCCAGTCAATATAGTCAATATTTTCTAATTCGGCAGGCTAGGTCGACAGCTCTAGCTGTCTAACATAAAACATTAACTGAATACTTGGAAGTAAACAAGTGCTTGAATGAAAGGGTTAGTATTATAAGACAAGCCATTTTATCTAATCCCTTTAGTCCCTTTCTGTCCGGTTTGGGCCTTTTACTTGTCCTATTACCAAAAATCTTCAAAGAAACAAGTCAACCCCCGAAACCCAACTTAATGTTACGACTATGGCCAACGCCGATCAACAGTCTGGAACACAGTAAATAGAATGCTTGATGAACGATACGAAATAGCAACTTTTGGCGAAGGTGCCATATTGTAATATAGTCGAGGAATTTGGTGGACGCTTCAAGAGCGTTCATCTTTTTATATATACGGTTTGTTTTGGGGTCAGTTGAAGATGGGAGCTCGTTTTGTGAACATCAATATTGTCTATATAAAATTGTATTTAAGTTTAAAATAAACAAACATACTAGTTCTTCGTCATTACTTAAGGTTTACGAAGAAAAGTTATACTGTTTTTTGAATTTAGAAAAAGTACAAAACAACATTTTTTACGGTAGATGGATATTATTTTAACGAAGTTTTTAATTCTAAACAACTTTATAACAATATAATTTTTTATAATTACAACAATTTTCGATATTTCCAAAAATAAAGGTCTTTTATTCTTGAATCAAATTTATATTTTGCGACATACTACATTATGTAAATAATAAATGAATTTTGATGTCTGGAAATTTTATTATAGGTTTTAGATCATCCATTATTTTGTACAGGGTGACTCATTAAGATTGGGAAATAGAACAAATGGAGATTCTCTGATTATAGTCCGTCAGATAGTGACAGGTTTAGGTGCCCCATTTTCGCATACAAGCCTCGAAGAAGGTTGAAAAGTTCAACGATTTTAAGTAGGATAACACATGGAAAATTCGATTTTCCCTAACAAAAACGAAAGGTTATTTGTTGCCCATTTTTCCACACAAACCGTTTTCACTATATGATTAATTAATAGAACTAGACTTCGGAAAACCAAAGGCTTTAATGTTGCAAATGGCTAAAGGGTTGAAATAAGGGCGTAATCTTCTAAGGAAAAATCGAGATTTTGTTCGATTTTTTCACACAAGCCCATCGAATGTATGAAAACGTCCGTCGTCACTAGTCCGAAAAACATATTTTCTTGAATGACCCGAATGTATAAGTGCATTTTGGGGTCGAAAAATTTTTCTGATAAGGAAAATCGAATTTTCCATGTGTTATCCCCAAGAGCCACTCGTAAATTTTCTTTTATTCTACTCAACATCGATGTACTTTTCGATGCGAAAATGGGGCACCTAAATTGGTCACTATCTGACGGTCTATTAAAAATAGGACGATTAAACGAAACATAATTGGGTAAAATGTTACTCTTTTCCGAAATACAGGGTATTTTTGGTGTCATATGATACACCTATCAGCAAAAAAAATCAGTTAAATATACTTTGCCAGTGGCGCACAGCATGGGTAACTAACACCTTCATCCCTTGTAAATTTTACGCTACTGTAAAAAACTAATTTGAACTATAATTTTAAATTTGTTGTTGTTTTTTAACTAAATCGTGTACTCTTATTGGAAACTTAAGATATTGATTTTCGAGATATTCGCTCCCAATAGTGGATACTCTTTATTTTAGTTTATTTTGAAGTTTTGAAATTTTAATTTTTTTTATAAGTTTCCTTTATACATGATTTATATACATGATTTATTTAAAAAACATCAAAAAATTTTAAATTATAGTCCAAATAAAATTTTGGACAGTTGAGTAAAATTTATACAAAGTGATTAAAAAAATTATAGCCTTTAGTAATTTTATAATTATAAGGATAAGAAAATAACTGTATAAAAAAATAAACATTACAAATGATTTAAAAAACCATTCATCATTCTTAAGTATAATTTCCTTTGTTTGGGTTATTATAAGACCTTATTAAATAAATGAATAAAGATAAAATGTAATAATCGTTGACAATTAAATTGTATTTATGTAGAATACATTTTATTGATACTATAACCGGTTTTATCATAATAACTCATTATCGTAATACGATATTAATTTAAACTGTTTAGATTCCTATTTTATTGGATCAAAATAATGATAATTTATTTAAGTATGTTCTTTTCATTCTTACCTTTAAGAATTTAAATCTTTCTTTGTTACGTTCGAATTCCAAATCCTGATTTTTCTGTAGAGCATCTTCACTGAAACGAATCATCAAAGTATATTTATAACACCTTCAATACTTATCTGTGTTCAAAAACGACAAGCATTTTTAAACAGATACTTCAGTTACTCTCTTTATGATCGACCCCGTATAAATAATATAAAGTAAACACAAAACAACAATATATTTTAATATTCAATCAGAACATTGAATTTCCTAATTTAAAAATCTTACACATATCAAAGCAAACTCTGGCAGCAGCAAAATGCAGCGTAACGGATTTTGAGTTCAAAGAACAAATATACTTTGCACACCTGCAATATATTTAGTATTTTCGCGCGCAGAATATAGTCTTCTCATGAATGGAAAATTTTGAGTAATTTAAATACAAGTGCTAACTCTTTTACACTCGCAAATCCTATCCTGGGTATATCTAAAATTGATCGTTAAAAACATATATACATGTTTATTTAAAAGTTAGGCACAACATACCCTCTATCTCTCCGTACTAATATGGTAAACTCTCTCACCACGCTCTTAATGACTAATTAAAAGACATCCAAACATATGAGCCGTTCCCAGAACAGTAGCACAAAGTATTAACATTCACACACCACACTTGACAAACAAACAGAAAGACTTATTCCAACCTCCATCAGAGTAACGCCTATTTGAAACAGAATAAAGAGATGTTTTAAACCGACATGTAATTATGTAATGTTATGTAATCCATTGCAAAGTTTATAGTGTTAAAATAAACAAGTTAGCAGAAGTAATTATTTAATTTCAACATTCTAAACAAGTATCAAGCAGTTCACCATTTTTTATACAAATCTACCGTCCACTGTCCACTTCGCTTCCAGTTGACAGGAAAGAACCCTTACGTGTGTGACGAAAAAGAAATCGAAGTCAGCACACAAATTGATTGAGGCAAAGTGCATCTCAAAGTCAAATATCTAACAAAATCTAATTTTAAAAATGGTTAAGAAAGACCTGTAAATAAAATTCGAAACATACAATTTTTCTTACTAAATAGAGTCGGTTTCAGCGCCCCTAGAAAGGGCCTGTAACGTCCTTTAGATCTGCTGTTGAAAATTGCGAACTGTACAGTGACTTTTAGATAAATCTATGGATACTTACGCTCGAACAAAATCGACTTGGATAGAGTGATCGATAACCAAATCGGCTGGACAAACTGGATTAATCATTTGTGGGTTACCACCCAACCTTTTAACGGCATCTCTCATAGCAGCAAAATCCACCACGGCTGGTACTCCGGTAAAATCCTAGAAAATCAGCAAAAAAAGGAAATATAATCAGCAACAGATGAATCACTCAAAGTAAAGTTAGAGCAAAAATTACAAATAATGAACGAAGTAACGTCTGTTTTACTTTCTTTGTGTTTATTATAATTATTAGCTTAGTTGATCGTTTTGTAAATTTGATCGAAAATTGATTTTATCGAATGACATTTGATCGATAATATATTCTATCGAATGACATTTTATCGAAATACATTTGATTAAAATACAAATGATCGAAAAGGCAATAGATCAAAAATTCAATGTAATAGACATTAAATTGAAAATCAACAAATTGAAAAATTGTATTTGTTTAGCGAAAAATGATCGAAAGTCCAAAGGTCGAAAATGACAAAAAATCGAAAGCAAAATAGATCGAAATTAGAACAAATGATCGAAATCGCCATGATTGAAATCACAAATGATCGAAATCAGACAAAATCGAAAGTACAAGTGATATGGTATCACATATGTTTCAAAGTACTAATGATCGAAATAGTATAATATCGAAAGCATTATATTACGAACTTGGTAAATGAAATGGTTTTTTTTAATTTTATATGTATTTTTTTGCAAAGCAACCCGCTTCAGGCCGAACAGGTTAGGTAAATTAGTTAAGTTTTTAACTTTTTTTCGTTTTATGCATATTTTTTCTGCGTCCGAATGATTGTTTATTTGTTTTGAATGAGGGAGTGAATTGGTGAATGGGAAAATAATAGAACATGCAAAATATAATAAGTCGCAGGCTGCAGTGCCGCCAGGCTAGAAACGGATTAAAGTGATTTATCGGGGCGTCCGAAGCATGATACAAAAAATTCAGTTATGATACTTAGCCAACGAAAACTCGTCCAGTTCGTGCACGACGAAATGTGGTGTGGAATAATCAGATTAAAATGTATTTTCGCGCGCTGTTTTCGATCAGCTGATTCGTCAAATTCGTAAAAGTCACTCCTTCGCACAATACCTCACCGTGACGTATCATCAATTTGCATATCATAACTTCTTTTTATAGTATCGTGCGTCTGAAGGATGAAAAATAAAAACAAATGGACTAATTACCTTTTCGACCATTTGTACTTTCGACTATTTATAATCTACGAAAAATTGATCTCGTAATCATTAGGAAAGCGACACACATGGTTCACTAGGTGGCTATTTGGGTGAACCTTATCTCAGACGGTCTCACAGATAACTTTTTAATCCAACCTGAACTCATATCGTCGTTAATATTAGTCTCTAACATGAACTCAAATGGTCATAACGCATGTAAAGGTAGAACTTATCGGATGCAAATTTAACATGTGTTAAAGTTGGTTTAGAAAAATGTAAATGACTCCCCGCCGCACAGGTTAGGTAAATTAGTTGTTTTAATAAGAAATATTTTTAGTGGTTTTTCCATAGTGTATAAGTAACCGTCTTTATAAACCTTATCCTTATTTCTTTAACTTAATATATATTTAAAATGATCCATTTTAGCAGTTTATGAAATAGACTTTTACAATAAAATTATATTTAACACAATTCACAAAAACAACATTTATGAAAACCATATAAACGTACGTCTAATATCTATTACTAAAAAATCTAAACTCAGCGCCTGTCGTCAAATTTAAAAATGTTTATCCTTGTACTTTTAATTTACAAATTTATATTTCTAAGCTAAATAATTATTTATCGTCATTTAGATTAAAGCATTGATTAATTCGCACAAAACGTCTTTACCTAAACAGTGATTTTAATAGTTTTTATTAATCTAATATGTTGGAAATAATACATCCAACATATTTCGCTAATATCTAGAGTCAACCCTGCCCGTGAATTAACTTAAAAGTTCCGAGTTGATTAATCGTGATATATCCATCCCTCCTGCATGCAAAACTGCAAACGGTGCATTTAAGCAGTTATGACGTAACACTACCACACCTTTGAAAAGTCACGTATCCACGCCTCTTCAAGAATGTTTTCAAAACATTTTGAGGGAGATATAAAAGACGAAACAAAGCCGAGCGCCTCACCACACGACGACAAGACAGTAAACTTCTAAACTACACTGCATAAATGATTATTACATTTCAAACTTTCATGCCAGTACAAACCAGCAACGTTATGCAGCAGAGACAATAATCTTCGGAATCAGTTCACAGATTATACAAGTAATTCTTCACCTATAATACAGGTCATTACGATTTTGAGGCTACAGTGCCGTAAACAAATGTCCATGACTCTTAGGGCCAATTTTTTAATAACAGTTTAAACTTTCGTTCACCTGAACTTGGATCAAATATAGAACTGAGATTAACATCAATGGCGTTTTTCAAACATGTGAATATCACAGTTCAATTTAATTTATATTGGTAGTTCTGAATTGACGGACTTCTGACAAAACTGAATGGTCTATGACGTTTTTAAAAACATATTTTATAAAAGTGAAGATAAAAAAAATGGAAAAAAATTGACAGACCGCCAATTTTTTTTGAGCAACGATTTTGCTTGCTGTACTCTTATGTACTCTAGAGAAGTAGCTGGTGATAATTAAGAAAGATTCCGATGCAAAAAATAGTATAGTTAACAGAACCATGACTTTAGCAGTTAAAGCATTATTTCTAGAACAAAAAATATGTTTTTTTATAAATTTTATTATCGGATTTTTAATTCATTAAATAGGCAACAATCGTCTTAATTTATTTCTTCGGACATAAAATGTACTAAAATTGTGAAATATACTTATTATACGACAATATCAAAACATTGATCTTAGTTTAAACGCCCAACTTTGATGGTTCAATTTTTAAATTAAGTTCAGACGTGAACTACATTTCAAATACACCATCTTGCAATTAAAACCAGTTCATTTACTAAACTCTGATTGCCCATAGCCCGTTATTGCACATAATATATGATTTAATGTTCGATTATTTGGTTTTTCGATCAATTGCCGTTTCAATCGAATCTATTTTCGATGAATATTCTTTTCTATCATAATTCTTTTCGATTAATTGTCCTTTGACTAGTTGTTTTTTCGATTAAATATTTTCGATCAGATGTATTCGATCAATTTTGTGCCACCCTATCAAGTCAAACATTTTAACACATTCTTAAGACCATCAATGTCCTTTGAAATAATACGTTAACATAAAAAATTGTAGAATAAAGCAATACCAATAATACTGTGTAGTAAATTGGTATAGAACTTCTAGGTATCCATTACGTTGCAAGATATCTCAATACACTCTGCAATTTTAACTTATAGGAATCTATAGGGTTGACACCAATGTCTTCTGTTAAAAGTTATTTGTGCTAATTAGTATTTTCTTCTTTAATATACATACTCTACGTTTATTTTTATAGGTATTAGGTAGAAATATATTTTTATCCAAAATTTAAATATTTTTTATTGTTACACAGATTAATGTGTACTTTTTATGAAATGGCTTTTTATAAATATGTAACCATTTTTTTTCTATTAGGTACTATTCAGTTATAATTACACTAATTCTTTTTTTTTTTCTGATAAAGCCAATCAATTAAAAAAAAAAACTAAATTTATTAAATAATTAAGACAAAAAAGGAATAATAATAATTAACGAGAAATAAGGTTTATAGGTATAATTAAAATTGCAATTGTTGAAAGTACAATTTTGGTAAACTATTTATTTTCTGTCTGAACCCAACATATGAAAATTATATAATTATATAATAATATAATTATTTTTGTTTCATTTAACCAACTTTTATCTCTCTTCGTTATCCTATATGATAAAAAACTCAGCCTATATATAAAATAATATTAATATGTTATCTTGGACCATAGATTACAGATTTGAATCCCAAAAGGGTCGGGATTTGCTTGTAAGGTTATTTATATGAACATGTTCTCCAAATTTTTTTATTTAGAATACAGGGTGTTAAATTCCTTCAACAAAATCGATTTTTAATTTAAACCTGATTAGATTAAAAGTATTATGTCCAGTGGCGTCACAGATATTTTATAACACATTGTATGTTTAAATAAAAACAACTTGGAGCACACGTTTATATGAAATACTGACATGAAATTCAGGAACACCCTTCGTATTAAAAAAAAAAACTTACTTGCAATATAACTCTAGCAGGCTTGAAAGGGATTTCGATACCACCTTCGACAGCCTGATTTTTCTCCCAATTCAAAATATTCGTTACATCTTCTGCTTTTATCGAAAAATTATCACAATTTCTTACGGCCGACTCCAAAAGTATTCTGATTGAATAAGGTAAACGTTCTAAAAACGAAAACGGTGATTTTTCTCCATTTTTATTGAGCACTACTCAATTACTCGTAAAATAAAATAATCAATTTGCAACTCGGTGTACATTAGAGAAACAGGAACATACACTGGAGTGCAAAATTAACCGGACACCCAGTTTTTTCCTAAGAACTGGCAAAAATTCACTTTTTTTAATTTTAAACATTTTTGAATGAAAAACGATATTTAGTAGGATGTAAAAATAAGTGTTTTACCCAGAACTTCCCTCGATAAAAAAATTGTGAAAATAGGGAACTCCTAAGCACCTAAATTTTAATAATTGAAAATTTAAACCAATAACCCTTTTTCACATTTGTCTTTCCATCCAACTTTCTTTTGATCCCATCCGAATTCTCACTTCGCATTCACTCGGTATTCTTCGTCGCGTTCACCGTTATTGAACAATAATGATTGGCTATTTTTAAACTGGTCCAGTTACTCAAACCAAAAGGACAATTTTTATTATTTCCATTCAAGGGGGACCTTTTCTTTCAGCGCCATTTTGAATTTTTAAATACTTATTAAGGATCTGTTATGTTTGACTTTCAAAATTCTCAGTTATCAATTTTAGTCGAAATCTGCCGACTTTTAAAAATAAATTTCATTTTAAAAACTGCTCACTCTGTATATAACTGATCGGAAGTATAACTGGTTTTGAGCTAGAAAGGAACCTTATCTGCATACAAAATTTGAAGTTTTTCTATAACGCCGTTTTTAAGCTATCGCGCCAATAGACAGACAAACGACAGACAGACCGACGGAATGGGGAAATATGTTTTTGTAATCTAGGGACCCTGAAACGTGAAACTCTGAAATAATCTCGCAAGGGGCCTTTTTCACGAATACAAAACTTCCCTATTATCGATTGAAGTAATAAGGCACAAAATCAAATTAAAAAAAAAATAAAACACATATTTTGCTAAAAACGAAGAAGTACATAAAAATCTGGGTGTCCTATTATTTATTCTAAAAAAAAACATTTAGGAAAACAATGAGTGGAGTGATTTCTTATTCAAGACTTACCATAATTTGAATCCAATGCAGCGATGTCATAGTAACTGTATAGTTTGCCATCTACATTGAGTGTTTTCAAATATTTCTTAAAGGGATTATTATCTAAAATAAAAAAAACTTTTAGTACTCATTCAGGAAAATTTAAGATTTTACGAAGATAAGTTGGGATTTATGAGGAGAGTAGCACTGTTGAGGTGTGAAGTAAACACTTAAAAATCATATTCAGGGACTTGAGTTTTATAATATACTATTTTAATATATTTATCCAGTTACTTTTTAATTGATAATGTTGTGTATTTGAATATCCCGCGCACATGCGTGAACGAACCGAAAAGAGGTAAAATTATGTATAGGATGTTCAAAAACTCTATCAGACCCCCCAAAAATAATCTGACATCGTGGCCAGTAGCTACAAGACCATTGGCCAGGATCCATATAGATTTTTTAGGCCCAATACGCAATAAAAAATTTCTGCTGGTAACAGATGCATATTCGAAATGGTTAAATGTTTTTATAGTTAGCTCTGTAACAGCTATGGAGACAGAAATGAAACTGAGAAAGTTTTTGCAGATTTCGGTTTGCCGGATACAGTATATAGTATCAGATAATGGTAGAGCTTTCGTGTCAGAATAACTGGAAGGTTTCTTCAAAATGGCATATGTCATATCACCACACCACCATTATTTAACCCATCATTAAATGGGGCAGCAGAAAGGAATGTACAAACATTCAAATACAAACTTAAAGCAGCACTAGAAAACCCAAAGACAAAGGAGGTTAAACTATAGGTCCTCATTTCAAGATTTTTATTACATTACAGGAATGCAGAACATAATACTACTAAAAGTACACCAGCATACTTGATGTTTGGAAGGAATTTAAAAACCGATTAGATCTGGTTTAAGAAAGCCAAGCAACAAGGCTAAAATGGAGGGAGAGCCACAAAGAAACACATGAAGAGCAGGGGTCTGCAAGGGAGAGATAGAGAGAGAGAGAGAGAGAGAGAGAAGTAATAGAAGGTGAGACAGTATGGGTGAGAGATTATAGAGAAATAAACAATAAAAAATGGACAGAGGCCATAGTAAAACAAAGACTGGGCAGAAGTGTATATTTATGTCAGATAGAGAACGGTAAGGAATAAAAAAGACATATAAACCAAATACGAACAAGACTAGAGGAGAAAGGAAATAACCAACAAAAGATTGATACCTTCAAGTCTCAAGAAGACATATCAACAGGTAACAGAAAGGTACAGGTACAGGCTCTTAAAAATAAAATTGGTCTACACACAATATACAAAACTAAAAATAATATTTTAAACAGTTTGGATCTTGTTACAAATTCAAATCCCCAAACCGAAGAGGTAGGTAAATAGTTACATTAGTTGAGGACAATATAAAGGATAGCGAGCAGGTGTCTCCCCTCCCCCCCCCTAAACGGCTAATAGTAAAACCTATTAAACTCAATGATTATGAATTAAACTAAAGGTGAAGGTATGTTGTGTATTTGAATATCCCGCGCACATGCGTGAACGAACCTTGCCGAACTAGTTGGGGGAACGACATTGGCTAGCCGACCATTCGATGAGGAAATTCAATTATAACACCGCTAGTGTATTTTTGTATAATTGTAAGTTAAATAATAAAGTGACGATAAAAGTAAATTGCTGTTATATTTTAACCCTTCTTGAAAGATAATATAACTAATTATTGTTACTTTTTTTCTGTTATACAATCGCTAGAAACCCTTCAAATTTCAAATTTATACTCAAAACACTACTTATAGAAGTCAATTTTCCAACAATTTTAGGAGGGGCATCATGGCCCCCTTTCTACAGGGCAGAGTGGTTGTATTCCAGCCATACAACCTAGACCCCCCCCCACTCACCGGTAAGTTGAAAAATCTGGTTAAAATTATTGGAAAATTATATTAGATTTTGTCCGCCAATAAATTTTTTGTAGTGTAGCCTTTGGCCCTCTTTACTATATCGGTGCCATATTTTATGCTTAAATGTATCCTCCGTCGGTCTGCAACCTATTCTAACCCTTTGAAGACTGTTATTTTATGTATGTAGTATAATTACATATCTAGGTTGAAAGTATATTATTATTAAATAAAATTAATTTTCAGTAAAGCTGCAAAATATATTATTAAAAAATATATTATTTTCCATCTATTTTTAAACTAATGTCTAATTGTTTTTTTGATAGAAACAACAATGAGATTTTTCTTGTGTTTAATTACAGAATATAATAATTCATATCGGAAAATGTAAATACTTGAAAGTAATATCTAATAATCTAATCTACAATTTAAGACATACGAGTAGATAAGCATATTTTATACTTATTACCATACATTTCTCAGCACAACCTACTTTCTTATCTATTAAAAAGATTTTTTTTTATTTTAAACATAATTTTTTGCTGAAATAAATTCAAAAAATGATCTCTATGTCAAACGTATGAAAAATATAATAACAAACTTTAAAATATTGCAATAGAATAAAATATCTGTAATTAATAGGTATATTATTTCATTAAAACCTCACTAAAAAGTCATAATGATAAATTTAAATGCTTGGAAAATGATAATTATTGTTTGGAAACATTCATAGACCAGTTTTAAATGGCAAACTCTATACATAATACGAGATCGTTAAAAAGTTTGACAAGGTCAAAACGTACCCATATTTCGGAACTAACCAAAAATTCGTAGGATTTCAGCTATTTCGCCGAAATGTTCTATACTTTTACGATATTGGCGAAATCACCCATGGTTCTATATGATTTTGGTGATTTTGCAGAAATCCCACTTAATTTTATATGATTTCGAAGAAATCATATTGCATCATTCCAAATAATTAATTTTTTTTTGAGGAATATTTAAAAGAATTTTTTTGTTCTTCACTTGCTTTTCTGATTGATTTTTTTTCCTTTACTTGTTTGCATGGTCTTCCACCTGTTGCGTTTATATTTTGACGATAAAAATTGAATTCGAAAATCATTTCGGTAATGAGTTTGGTGATGATTTCGGGATTTCTATTTAGATTTTGTAGCAGCATTTCGGAAGTGGTTAACCTCTTACATCACTGAAAAAAATTTATTTGTTCCTTCGATTACCAATCACCTACTCCAAGGTCACCCTATGTTTCACTACTACTTATTTACCCAGAGTAAATATTTTCAAACTACGGGAATACTAATTTCTCTCAAGAGTTAATGCAAGTGCCATACTTCAACGTGGAAACAATAATTTGAAAGCCAATGACTACTCACCGACTGTTTCAAGAGAATTAAACTTCTTGAGAGAATTAAAATTCTTAAGAAAATTCGACCATGTGAATAGCCGAGAAGGAACTCTTTCAGTAAGGTGTAAGATGTTTGAAAAGACGAATTAAGGAGAATACATAATATGGATTCGGATAGGTATTCCTTTCTTTTGATAAAACACTCCTTTCTCTCGAGTTTGAAAATAGCCCTCTAGATGTAATTTTACAAACGGAGGACAGACGACAAAAAAGGATAATTTTGGACAAAAAAGAATGACAAGTTTTAAAGAAAACATATTTATAAATTCAACATAAAAAATAACACTAACTAATAAATTCAAATCACTTTCTGTCATAAAATTAAAAAGCAAGATATTAACAAAAAAATAATAATGACTGTGGTAGATAGTCGTCCAAAGTTGGTAACATATACATATTTGTTTCTCTGCAAAACACTCAGTATATTCCGTAAACCGACTTGGTTAATCTGGTTACTAAATTCGTGTTCCGTTAGTATCAGGTTCCTGAAATCTGGTTGGTATACGGAACTTGTTTACTGCAAATCGGTGACCAAAATATTCAATCTTTTCCAGCGGTTAAGTGGTTGAAGTCTGACAACAAAAAACAGTAACATTTTGTTTTCATATTATATCACGATACACAAATACCGGTATGTTCCTGCGCATGTTAGCTCTATCCTTGTCGCATGATATGATGTCACGTGGTATAAAAATCCGACGCATCTACATAGAAAAATACAAGTAACGAGACGTTTTCGATAATAAAAAACTGTTACATTACTTCATTGTTAAAAAGGGTTGCCACCTGTCCTTTTTTGAAGCAAAATATCCTTGTGACTTTTTAAAGCTTAAAATGTCCTTTTTTACGGTAACTGTTTTTTTTACGGTAAATGTTTTTTTACGGCAAATGTCTTGTTTTACAGCAGATATCTTTGGAAGCGACATGGTTTGTACAAAAATATATAAGCTGATGGCTTTTTTTTAGAAGCTCGGTAGAGAATGATGAGGACTATTGTATACCGGAGCCCCTGTCAGCATCGTAGTCCTGTATTCACTTTTCAAAAAGGTGGCAACCCTGTTAAAGGTTTTGGTTTTTATGAAATGAAAGTAGAAAAGTTATTGTATAAGTACAAATATTGCACAACTTTTATGAACATTTAGTTCATTTATTATTACAAGTAAAACAAGAATAAAATATGTGATAATGTTCCTTAGATAAGTTCATAACAAAGAACTTCAAACAATAATGCACAATTTGAATGAACAAGATTCGAGTAAAACTGTACAGCACAGAATATTTTGGAGATTTTTTTTGAAAAAATGTAAATACTGATATCATGATCCAAGTACCAGTTTTTTGGAGCTCTTTAGAAACACTAGCTGCTTCAATTGCTTTTAAAATTCCAATTGCTGTATTCCGCTGTCTCCTTTTAGCTGATCGCAGATTACTTTCTCCACATTGCCTTTTCTGGACTGCTGCGGCAAATTTGGGGATATTTAGTGTGGACACAGCACCAGGTTTCAAATGTCAGCTGTTTATGGGCATGTATTCCAACAATCTCTGCTGCAGAGGCACTTCGAAACAGGAGACTTCGAAGTGTATAGAGCAAATACGAGCTGCAAAAAAAACAACTAGTTATAATATATGTACATGAAATTTGTTTTACATGACCGCTGACACATAGAATAATAAATGTAAATCAAATTTTACATTATAAAAATAAGAGCTCCCACACTTACTATTTTTTAAGTTTATTGTCCTCGGCGGCATGCTACAATGCACTGCTTAGCCAGATCATCATTCTTTGGAA